CTTTCTGCGCATGTATAATTACTTCCCAAACACACTGAGCCACCTAATGCCAGTGAACAACTCCCTTTATCATATCTGGATCCCTCTGTAAACTCCTAATTGGAAGTGGGGAAGTAATTTGCATGCAACAGTCTCATCTCAAACACCTCCACCAATCAGGTGTACATCACAAATCAATTCTAGAAGAAGAAAAAGGTCATCAGCCCATACCCTATATATATATTGCAGTTAGCCAATCTTTAAATGAGGTGACTGCATTACTTTCCTTGTTTAGACTTTCTCCCTTTATTTTCACCTTGTGATCCAGCCTGTAAGTTTATTATTTTTCAATTTCCTTTACAATCCAAACTGTCCAACAAACATGGCAGTTAGAGGATTGAGACAAACCATTTACCACTGGCAGAAGTACTTACAATGACCAGCTTCTATTCATTTATATAAAACCTTTATTCTAAAAAGGAAAATAAACCTATTTCTGTAATGGCTTAAAAAGTGTTTGCTGGAGTTCAGCTTTAATTTGTTAGTTAAGTCCATTTAAATCTGCTAGACCATCTAATACTGCTATCTCCCCATGTTGATAATGTTTCTGTCCAAAGGTGTTTCTGTTGCTCTTCCATTCACAGTGGATACACTCTAAGATAGGAAATGTGTTGCTGCCAGATCACAGGTGAAAATAAAGGAACATAAAGTATATTTAAGAGTAAAACTTTTTTCACTTTGGATAGAGTGAGGGAAGGTTATGACATCTGCAAGGTGTTTTGCCTTCTGTGTCCCATTAGGAAGATTTTCATTTACTTCCTGTCCCATAGCCAAAAGAGGAAATTAGGAAATTCTTCAAAGTGAGGGAATCCCTTGTTGTCATCAGGATTACCAGAACTAATATCCATATTGGAAGATTACCCCTCTGTTACTGTTCTGTAGACAACCCAAACCTTCTTCTACTTGCACTTTCAGTATTAACGGTAAACAAGACAAAGAAAGAGGGTGAATCTCCCTAATGGGAGCACACAGAACAATAAAAAAACCTTCCATGTGTTGTAATCCCTCTCCACTCTATCCAAAATTAAAAAAAAAAATCCTTTAATTATGAAAGAGAGAGAAAATAAAATTGAAAAAGGCACATCTAAAAGTATCGTAAAGTTAGCTGGATTACAGTGCACTACAGTGTACCTCTGCTTTAATGCAGAACTATGGGCAAAACAATTCTTTTCATGTCCATGTTGCTGATTTCCTACCTTCACTGAATATGTCATCTATCTTCTGGTTCAGTTAGTAGTTGTCTGCAATAGCCTATTCATTTTCAAATCAAAACATTAATTCTCTTTGTTTTCCTGTTTGTAAGACCAGTGGCTGCTCTGCCTTCTATTCCCCCAGCCACTGGTCTTAGTACATCCCTTCTATAGTTAGTTCTCCAGGAACCAATGATGTCATTCAACCTTACTTGCAGTGGTGGGCAGACAGGGACTTTCAGACACATTCAACATGTACAGGCCTAATGTATCTGCCCACATTCACTACAATTCCCAGTGATTGATGGGAACTGTAGTTTCCTTTTACTTCAAAGAGAGAGGAAAGGATATGATGTAATTCCTTCCGCTACACCTCTTTCTTGTAAGAGCATATGCTGATATCTTTTGAATTACAAAGATGAGGTCATGAAAATTCAATTAGACTTTTCTCCTAAATGGTAAGGATTTTCAAATTAACTACTTAGTGTTTTGTGTAGGGTGGTGTACTAATGGGTGTTTTTTTTCCTATCCTGGAGTTCGTCTTTAAGTGCTTAATTTTATGAAGTACAGGGGGCAGAGATGGTCCATGCTGCCTTGTATGAAGATCTCCTGAATTTCAGTGGTGCTAATGATAGTGGTAGAGGTATAAGCAGGTCAAACTCTCCAGTCACCACATGGTTACTTTGCAAGAATCCTTTATTGCAACAACCACAACACGTTTTGAGGTGTTTCCTCACATTTTCTTTGTGTGGATAATGGCCCCTACAGCAGCCAACACCTAGGAATTCACTGTGGGATTCTAGACTCTCCTAACTGTGAACCCACAAATATACTTTGCATGAACCAATTTAAATTTCAAAATAGGTTAAAGAGTCCATCTATAAATATATGAATGTCATACACTGTTTGAACATGTTTATGCTGGCTGTAAACCTTTGCGGACAATATAGAGAACTGTTTCTTTCAGAGAACCAAAGTAAAAAATTAAAAGCTAAATTCACCTTTATCAGGAAATAAGTAAAGATGCTCCATTAGGTATTAGTGCAAATTTTTAAAATGTTTATAACTTTTATTTTCATACTTGTAACCAGTTTGCCCCCCTCCCCGAAGCCTGCCCGAATAACTCCTATTCAACAATTCCACATACTGCAGATAGATGAGAAGAGCTAGCAACTCGCACATCAATATTAATTTATTTAGCTACAGTATAGTGACGATAAAAACAGCTTACATGTTTTTGCAAATAGCCTTAGTCATAGCCTAATACAAACTGGACTCTCTTACAAATTTATACACATCCTCCACCCCACCTCTGGTCTTAGCAACAAGGAAGGGTGTGAGAATTGTTAATTAGGAGTTTTTCTGACAGGCTTCCAGCAGAGCACAAAGACCTACAGGTATGACAAAAAAATTAATGAACATTTTACAAAGCTGCACATTTTTTAATACCTACCTATATTTATACATGTGAATATAACTGCTCTAGATATGTTTGTCAAGTGTCAGACTTAGACAGTGTGAGAATGTATGTAAGCATAATATTATGAGTGTTCAAATAAAGTACAGAGCTCAAAATGCAAGATTCGTTTCATCATCATAATAATGATAATGTGTGAAACATTGTAAATAATCACAAAGTGTTCGGAAATTAAATACGGTAATCGTATGGTGAAATCAGATTAGATCAGTCCTCACATGCCGAAATAAGACCAGAAGACTTCCAAAGATAGCCAGTGTGACACCATCCACTTACATGCAAGACTTGGAGGTGTCCATGTGGCTTAGAATATGTTGAACGCACTACACGGGCCCTTCATGTTCACTTAGGTGGACACATTGCTAACATAAGGAAGGGCTTGAGTTTTGCATGCTGCACTTTATTTGAACACTTTGTATGAGGTGCCTGGTATCAAGGTATAGGGGTTTATTTACTAAAGCTGGAGAGTCCAAAATCAGACTCTCTTCTGCATAGAAAACCAATCAGCTTCTAACCTCAGCTTGTTCAATGAAGCTTTGGCAATGAAACCTGGAAGCTGATTGGTTTCTATGCAGAAGGGAGTCTGATTTTGGACTCTCCAGCTTTAGTAAATAAACCCCATAGTGTCCAGCTGCTATATATTGGTCTTTGTTTTTCTCTGAGCGAAGATTTTGGGTTACACTAAGGCCTATAATATTATGAGCAAACTGAACACATTTCTTTCATTATAGACTGAATATTTCAATATTTGTATGAATCTACTTGTGATTAATTATTTTTATTATTTCTATCTATCTATCTATCTATCTATCTATCTATCTATCTATCTATCTATCTTCTTTATTGCATAGTCATGTTAGCTCTGAAAAAATTCAGTCATTCCCATGTAAGACCAACTTTATAGTACATCAGTAAAGTATACATCTGGTTGTTCTTTAATTATTTGATATAATACTTTAGCAGACTTTATTAGACTGCCAACACAGTATGCAAATTTCTCAGAATCACTGCCAACTCACCTATAAAATATGTAAAACACAATGGCCAAATAGCTCAGATCCCCTATCCTCTCTTCCATAACAGCATACTGCAGTCCTTCTCTTCATTGACAGGATGCACTCCCTAGTGACAAATCAAAAGCTGGGGGTGAGTGCAGAATACAAATGTACCAATAAACGGGATATTTGCTCAGCACAGCTATGGAAAGGGAGAGTTTGGCCAATCCATTCTGTGCACTTTATTTACTGCCTCTTTCTCTACTCTAGTAGGCAAAAATGTAATAAAAAATTCCTTACCACTAAGGTTACAGCCTCTTGCTAGTAAGGCATATGTTTATGAAAAGTTATGTGGAGGGCCTTTACACATTGTAAAAAGCTCTCAGCGGAGAGCCGGTTTATTAACATTTTCACTTCTCTTCTCTGACTGAGAACAGAAGTGAAATAAATACATAGTGAATGGCTGTTATATGTAGTGAAAGTGAGATTGAAGTCCATGATCTTGTGAGATCAGGGGCCCAAGTACTCATGAATGAAAAATAAAATATAAAATTTGACAAAAGTTAAGAAATAATATTAAAGTTAATAAAAAAAAACGGCGTGCGAGGGATCATTCATGAATGATTGTATTTTTATTTATATCAAGACATTCCTGCGACACGTTTAACCAAGTGTATTTATATAGCCATAAGTAAACTTAATTACAAGAGTCACTGAAATGTCCTGATAGAAATAAAATCATAATTATTTATAAGCAACTTAAAGGGTAGAATCTGCACTTGGGTCCTAGGGGAGAATAAAGAGCTGAAAAGCTGCCAACACAATACTCTGATACTGGATATACTATAAATAGGAAACCAAACAGTGTGGCGCTAAATGTAAATCCACATCAAAATGATAATATGCACAGAAAACAACATGTGCAATAGAAATTAGAAATCCAATCACAGGAAATACATGAAACATTAAGTAATATAAAAGCAGTACAAATATATTATTTAAATTTAAACGCAGAAAGTTAAAGTATTACTAAACCCAGGACCCTGCATTCATTATATCTGGTCTCCTACAGTGCACAGAACATGGAAATGTAATTATTTTAGTAAATATAAACTGCTAAATATCTTTTCTCATCAGCAGTTACAGCAGTCTTGTGATTACAGTGTCCAACACAGCACTGGTTAAAGCTTGTAGGAGGCGTTTTCATTTTCCCCTATGAGGCTGCAGGACCCTTGACCCTTTGTAAAGTTTTGGTTCGCACTGTGCTGATCACATGCAGTCCTCCAAGAAAAAATAAACCTCTCTAGCAATACACACAAAATTGAGCATGTGCAGAGTGACTCCAAGCCTCTGTTCTATCAGGAGTTATATTGGGGACAGTAGAAGAATCGGAGAAGAATCGGAGAAGACAGGATCAAACAGCCTTTTAACACAATGCAGATGATTAACCCCTTAGGTTCCGTAGTGAGTATAAGAAGAATGCTTTTTTTGCATATACTGACTGATTTTACTGTTGTGGGTTTAGTAACACTTTAAAGTTCAAATTTGCCTACAGAAAAAATATTAATGTAAGCATCAATTGGACATACAAAGTAAGGTGCATGCACTTCAAACACAAGTGCCAGTCTGTTGCACACCCACTGCTGTGATTACAAAGCCACTTAACAGAAAGTCACAACCCCTTTTGCAGAGTGGTCATTAAAGCTGTTATATCAGGTATACTGGCATGAAATGCCTCCAAGAAAACCCCAGCCAGTATGGACCAAATGCTAACTGGAGAGTCCTGTTCTCCTAAGCACGTAAGTGAACACAGACAAATCCAGATGTTATGTGGATTTGCTCCGAATCCTTCTCTCTCAGGTACAGCAATAGAAACAGGCAAGTTAAAAATACCTGCACATAGACAAGGCAGTACACTGAATAATACAAACATTTCTAAGCACTCAATTCGCTTCATGCTTACGCTCCAGCACTGTGAGGTGTGTTTTATGGGCTGGTGGCATTGTTCTGTGGTACCCTTGCTGGTCCTGCAGTGGGATGTGGTGGCCTTGACCATCCCTACATTGAATTCGGTCTCATACCTCCTCCAGGCCTTGTTCTCACATCTCTTATTCAACTCCTGTGCACCAGGTGGGTATTTGTCTTCACTGTATAGAGGTTGTACATGCGAGTGGATCTCACAGCCTTGGCATCTGTTCAACTGTTTCAAGTTTCTAAGCTCCATAGTGGGGACCTTTGGCTCACCGGGGCCATCTATCCTGTAGGAACTGGCCATTGTATGTTCCTTTGTCAGTGATCCAACCAAATGGGGTATGTTCCTTCTCCTGTTCCCTAACCATGAGTCTTACAGGCAGTTTTTGTACTGTTCCTGTCTTAGGGAATTGTTTATTTTTTCTCACATCCATGGATACTGCTTTGGGATGTCCCAATGGTTAGGGATCAAGTTCTCTTCTGTGTTCTTTACTGAATGGAAGAGCAAATGGAAATTTGTGTACTCACTGAAAAATCCTTTTCTCTGAGTTCATTGATGGACACAGCAGCTGCCCCTCTGGTTGTGCTGGTTGTGACCACATGTTGCTATTTGTACTGCTTTGTAACTAATTTAGCTGCATAGGAGGTTTGGGCACCATCAGGGGGCCACACCAAGGTTGTGCTTATGTTTTTGTACCTAGTGTCCTACTCCTGAAGGTGGCACTATGACCCAATGATCCGAGAATGGACCTCTGTGTCTTTCAATGAATGCAGAGAAAAGGATTTTTATTGGGGGGGGGGGGGGGGGGGGGAGTACAAAAATATCCAGTTTTTGCTACAAGAGAACTGCACAGCTTTGCAGGTTTCAACCCATTTCTCTTTCAAGTCTTATTTCTGTTGACTCTCTTTTTCTTTGTTTGCCTTTGTTTGCCTTTTTCATCGTTGCTGTCAACGCTTCACTCTCTTTCTCTCTTTCTCTGTGCCTCACTGTCTTTCTTTAATAGGGACCTTAGTCTACCTCCATTTTATTCATTTCCTCAGCTGATACCCTCTGTAATGCCTATGAAATGTGTTGGCCTTGGGCCCTTGGTTTCTTCGTGGATTTTTACAAGAAAGCATCGCTGCCCATATGCCAGAAGCACGGGGAATGATGTAACATTATTCCCTCGGCTAAGGAAAACTTGCAGAGTCACAAGTCATAGCCTCTGGTATTAGATAAGATGTATTTGTGCAGTTAGACTTTTTTGCTCCAGTCAGACTTGTTTGTGAAAAGTTCTGTTACTTTATCTAGCCCGCAGTTGGTGGGCTTATTGCCATAAGGTTTAAACATCTTTAACTTAGAAAAAACTTAGATTGCAGTATGTAAAAAAGAGTTTGATCATGTGTTTATTAGGCCTGCTAGATGGCATAATAGTGATAAGTGACTGGGTGTGACTCTCCTACCTCACAGAACCTTTTAGTGTTAGCTGAAACAGCATCACGGAGCGGGTAAAGGTGCTGTCCATTCTGGGATTGTGGCGTGAAGCACTGAACAAAGATATTTAAGAGAGGCCTGAAGACAATGAGATCAGAAGCCATCCTGTGTGTGAGGGGGTGCCCTAGCATTGGGACTTTTGCCGAAGCTGGGCTCATCGATCGATCATACTCCAAGCTTCTCCACGATCTCCTGTGCACCATGGTTAATGAGGTCTCTCCCTTCCCTTCTTCCCATAGCTTTGGTAATGTATTAATTGACGCTGTCAAAAGATGTGTTTGTTTCATGCTGTAATACTCACATTACTATTGGTGTGTTAGTATGCAGATTGTGCTGACCATAAGATATATCCTCCTGTGTGTTGTATGATAATAAAAGTGGAGGTCTTGACAATGCAAGAACACTGCAGTTGGATTTTGTTATTTCTTGGGGTGCTGAGTGAATGCTGCATGATGTGCCAGGGCAGTTTTACACTTAGTAGTAGTGTGTCCCTCACAAGCTTAGAAACTATGGTGTGACTGCTGGTTTGTACCTGTGCAGTATGTGTGACTTGCTCTTGGTGTTTGTGTCCAGCCTTTCATTACACCCTCCTTGCCTGAAAGGTGTCTAAGAGCTACAACATACACTAGCTGCTCTCTGTCCCACAGGACTGCCATGTTTATTTAGCGCCAATAAGAGAGTACCTTGAGCCAAGCCTTTTCCCCAAAAACAGCTCCAGCAACAACTGCAGCATCAACAGCTCCAACAACAACTGCAGCATTAACAGCTCCAACAACTGCAGCATCAACAGCTCCAACAACAACTGCAGCATTAACAGCTCCAACAACTGCAGCATCAACAGCTCCAACAACTGCAGCATCAACAGCTCCAACAACAACATCAACAGCTTCAACTACAGCATCAACAGCTTCAACTGCAGAATCAACAGCTCCAACAACGGTTCTAACTCCATCATCAAATACAGCATCAACAGCAGCTCTAACAACAGCTCTAACTCCAACAAGTGAAGCATCAACAGCTCCAGCAACAACAGCATCAACAGCTCCAACAACTACTGCAGCATCAACAACTGCAGCATCAACAGCTTCGACAACTGCAGCATCAACAGCTCCAACAACAACTGCAACATCAAAAGCTCCAACAACAACTGCAACATCAACAGCTCCAAAAACTGCAGCATCAACAGCTTCAACAACAACTGCAGCATCAACAGCTAAAACAACTGCAGAAATGAACATTACCATGCAACTTTGAGGATATGCATTTGCATCGCATTTCTGCCTTTTAATCATGCAAAGACAGTCTATACAAACCAGTACCCCATTTAAATTTTTTTCTATTAGGTAAAAAGAATCAATAAAACTGTAGTGTATGCAATATAGTGACAGGGCTATATTAAATTACTATACAAAAAGTGCAGTGCTTCTATAAATATAGTGACAATAAAAGTCCAAAATGAGAATAAAAAGTCCACAATATGGAATGAAATCAGAAGAAAGTGGTTCCCAAAACGCTGTGATGAAACAGAAGAATTTCCAATGATAGCTGATGTGGCACCAACCACTCACATGCAAGGCTTACCAGAACAACATGACCCCCTGTAAAGAGCAGTCAATCACGCATCTGTTGTAAGACAACCAACAAGGTGTAGCAGGCGCGATCCTCCTCTGAATCCTCCTCTGAAGTGAGACAAACTTTATGTTTATGTATCTGCTCTAACTCACAGAGTTCACTAAGAAGTTTTATTTTTTCTCTTCTTTCCCTCTTCTTTTTTGTTCCAATTGCTATCAGGATTCCTCTCATATAGGCCTTATGAGCCTCCCACACTGTTGCTATGGACACTTCCCCAGAATCATTTTCCTCAAAAAATTTCTCTATTTCTTTTTTAATTCTTTGATCCACCTCTGAATCCTGGAGAAGTGTCTTATTTAACCACTTGCCTACCAGGCACTTATACCCCCTTATTTACCAGGCCAATTTTCAGCTTTCAGCGCTGCCGCACTTTGATTGACAATTGTGCGGTCATGCAACATTGTACCCATATGATATTTTGATCATTTTTTTCTCACAAATAGAGCTTTCTTTTGGTGATATTTAATCGCCACTGGGCACTTTACTTTTTGCGCTATAAATAAAAAAAGTGCAAAAAATTTAAAAAAAAAAAAAAAAGTTTCTTTGTTTCTATTATAAAATTTTTCAAACAGGTATTTTTTCTCCTTCACTGATGTGCGTTGATGAGGCAGCACTGATGGGCACTGATAGGCGGCACTGATGGGCACTGATAGGCAGCACTAAATGGCACTGATAGGCAGTACTAATGAGGTGGCACGGATAGGCGGCACTGATAGACAGCACTAATGAGGTGGCACGGATAGGCGGCACTGATAGACAGCACTAATTAGGGGTCACGGATAGGCGGCACTAATATGCAGCACTGATAGGTGGCACTGATAGGTGACACTGATGATGGGTACTGATAGATGGCACTGACTGGCATCACTGCTGGGCACTGACTGACGGCACTGACTGGCACAACCCCTGGGCACTGACTGGCAGCACTGCTGGGCTGCACTGGTGGGCAGCACTGGTGGGTGGGCACAGGTGGGTGGCACTGGTGGGCACAGGTGGGTGGCACTGCTGGGCACAGGTAGGTGGCACTTCTGGGCACAGGTGTGTGACACTGCAGAGTGGCACAGGTGGGTGCACTGCTGGGCACAGGTGGGCGGAGCTAGTGGGCGCACTGCTGGGCACAGGTGGGCGGAACTTGCGGGTGGCACTGCTGGGCACCGATCATCAGGGCACTGATCATCAGTGCCCTGATGATCGGTGCCGATCCCCGCTCTGACAACTGCCGGTTCTCGGCAGTACTTTCCTCACAATCTGACAGCGTGAGGAAAGTGCAGCTGAGAACCGGCACTTGCATTTCCCTGTGATCAGCGTGTCATTGGACACCGCTGATCACGTGGTAAAAGGCCGATGTGATCGGCCTTTTACCACATCACGTGATCAGCTGTGTCCGTAGGACACAGCAATCACGGAGATCGCCGGGTGCGCGCCCCCTGGGGCGCGCAGGAGAGCGCGTTCTGGGAGGACGTCATATGATGTCCACCCAGAACTGGCCGGCCGCAGTGCAGCCGTCATTCGGCTATCTGCTGTCGGCAACTAGTTAACCTCTATAATTTCCCCCCGATCTGCTCATTTCCCCATAATAATTGCATTGTGACAGGGGCATGTCCAATATTGACATCATGTCTATTTTTACTTTGACCAGAGACTCGATAAGTCAATGGTCCAGCAATATATAATCCAGTCTTGAATAAATCTCATGTGCATGCGAATAAAACGTATAGTCTCTGTCCTTCATGTGCTTAATTCTCCATATATCTACAAGCTGACATTGGTATATCATTTTTTTCAAGGATTTCAGAGACCTACTACCATCTCTCTGTACAGGGGACTTCATATCCATCTGGGGAGCCATGCAGAGATTGAAATCACCTGCCACAATTAAATTGCCTTTTTTGAAATCCATTAACTTCCTCGGAGTATTTTTTAGTAATACCTCCGGTTTCTTATTTGAGCAATAAATATTTGCTAATGTACAGTCTATTTCCTGTAATTTTCCCTTCAGAAACAGAAATCTCCCATCGGGATCTACCAATCTGTCTTCCAGCTTAAACCTTATATTTTTCGCAAAACCTTTTGCCACTCCCTTGGCACGTTTAATTGGGGAATCTGCATAAAACCACATTGGATAATATCTGGAATTTAATTTCACATTTGATTCTTGCATCAAATGTGTCTCCTGTTAAAAAAAAAAACCACTGAAGAAAATCAAAGTTGAATTTCTTTAAAAATCCCAAATCTCTTCCCAGGGCTATTTAACCCTTTGATATTATAAGTCACAAAGTGAATCTCTTCCATTCTTCTCCTCTCCACACCTCTATCTTCCCCATCTCTTCTCTCTTCCTCTTTCCTCCACATCTTCCCCTTTGATCTCTAGGATTTCTCCAGACTGATGTTTCTGCCACTATTTCGCAGAGTCTTAAACTACCTATCCCCACCCCATAACTTCCCACTCCCACCCACCCTCCCGTCCCTCCTCCCTCCCTCCCACCCTCCTCTCCCTCCCCAACCCCCCATCTCCCTTTAGGCTCACATTTTGCCAATGAATCATTTTAGGTCCTAACCCCACCTTTGATTCAGCTTTTAAGGTGAAACTCTGACCATGAACTTTTCCCCAATAAGCGTGTCTCATCCTCCGTGTCCTGCCATACTCTAGCAAACTTCAAAAATCATAAGAGAGAGGCAGCAGAAATGGAGGGAGATAGAAAGAAAAAAAAAGGAGAGAACCCCCCCCCCCATCCTATCTTATTCCTCTTTACTATTCCTACTCTCTATTTCTCCTTAGAGCTACCTGCCTCCCCTCATTTTCCATAGCCCACATTTCTCCTTCTTCTTCCTCCCAACCAGGGATATTTATTTTCTGTATATCAAGTCTCTCACAGAAGTCTCTCAGATCTTCGGGGAATCTCAGTCTTGCTGAACGTCCATTTCTCCATCTGATCAAACACGCTGGAAACCCCCAGCTATATCGAACATTCTGTTTTTTCTCATCTGTTCCAATAACGGTTTCAAAGTCCTCCTTCTTATTAATGTTTCCACTGCTAAATCAGCAAAGATCTGTATATTTATTTCTCCATATTTTATTATTGCTCTTCCTTTTACCTTCTTCCAAAGCTCTTCTTTATCCCACAAATTATGGAATTGCACTATTACATCTCTTGACTTTTCCTTTCTATCTTCTTGTATATATTTTCCTATTCTATATGCTCCCTCCATTTTGAGAGGCTCTGTTATAGTTCTATCCATTATAGTATTCAGCATTCTCGTTATTATTCCTGTTAAATCTTCTCCTTGGGAGTTCTCTGGAAAGCCTTGTATCCTTAGATTGCATCTCCTATCCCTATTTTCCTGGTCTTTCAATTTATATAGCAGATTTCTTTGTTCTTTTCTCATTTCCATCGCCCGTTTTTTTAATTTCTGTATAATTTGGGCATGTTTATCTAGTTTTTCTTCCATCTCCTCCACCCTTGATAATATTTGCCCCAGGTCTTTGTGTAATTTCGCCAGTTCCTGTTTTAGGGATCTTTCCAGTCCTTTAAACATTTCTGCTATTTCTGCTTTAGTAGCCATCTTTGAGCTCTCCTTTTGTTCTTCTACTTTATCCATATCCACTTCTTCCATAAGCTATTCCCAGGGATAGTCTGGAACATTCCCCGCCATTTTCCCTCTCACCTCTTACACTTATTCCCTGTTGTCTCTCTGGAGTCTGTTTCTCCTGTGAGGGTATATATTTTTAATTGACCCTGTTTGGGAAGCCTTAGTCCCTCCTCCCTTTGATACTTTGTTTTTCATGCTGTCAGGGACTATTTCAATTTTCCACAGTTCTGGTTTTGGGGGGGGGAGGCCTATTTTTGATTTGATATCAAAATTTGTTGTCTTCCATGGGTATCCCCCTCTTAGTTCTTTTCTTCCTTTTTCTCTCCCCCCACTCCCGAACTGATCTACCCAGGTCCTCTTCTTGTAGGTCTTTATCTGTTTTACATTGTGCTCTTTCTGATTTTCCTCTAAGACCCCCTGGGTGAACCTCTCCTCAGTTTAAACATATAGTTCAATACATACAGTTCAGTTCCCATGCAATATATTAATCTCAGTACTTTTGCCGCTCTCACTCACCGTCTTGTCCCCAAGGCGGCTTTTCCCCCGTATGAGATCTCTGTCATATATGAAGAAAAGGGCTTCTCTGAAAAACATTTCCCACACTCCGAACAGTTATACAATTTCTCTTCCGTGTAAGATCTCTGATGTGTGTGAAGACTGGGCTTCACTGAAAAGTATATCTCGCACTCAGGACAGACATATGGCTTTTTCACCGGTGTGAGAACTCTGGTATATGTAAAGTCTAGACTTTATCTCAGAAAACATTTCCCGCACTTAGAACAGGGATATAGCATCTTCCTTATGTGAGGTCTCTGATATATATGCAGGCTGGACTTCTGTGAAAAATAATTTCCCGCACTCTGAACAAGGGTATAGCTGCTCCCTCTTGTGTTATCACTGGCATATATAAAAATAGGACTCACATGAAAAACATTTCCCGCACTCCGGACAGGTATGCAATTTCTCCCCCGTGTAAGATCTCTGATGTGTGTGAAGACATCTTCACTGAAAAGTATTTCCCACACTGACAGACATATGGTTTTTCACCTGTGTTAGATCTCTGATATATGTAAAGTCAAATTTTGTCTGAGAAAACATTTCCTGCATTTAGAACAGGGATATAGCATCTTCCTCATGTGAGGTCTCTGATATATATGCAGACTGGACTTCTGTGAAAAACATTTCCCGCACTCTGAACAAGGGTATGGCTGCTCCCTCTTGTATTGTCACTGGTATATATAAAAATAGGACTTACATGAAAGACATTTCCCGCACTCGAAACAGGAATACTTCTCCCCATGTGAAATCTCTGATTTCTATGGGATTGAACTTTTCTGAGAGACTTTCCCACACTTTAGGACATCTCTTCCTTTACTCCAAGTGAGGGGTGAGGCGGAACCAGGTACTCTCTTCTGGGGAACATTGCACTCGACATTCTCCTCGCACAATGAGTAGATTGGATTGCAGGGGGGGTTCACCCAGCCCGTTTCTGCGTGTCTCCAGCTGCCATGGTCCTGTGTGCAGGAGGAGGAAGAGAGCCGGCGTCTACCTTGCTCCAAGAAACGCCGGCTGGCTCCTCTGCCCCGCAGAGCTCCCTTGCAGCAGATCACCTGATCGCCCAGCGCCCACTGAGCTCCAGGGAACACACAGCGCCGGACCGAGAGCACAGGAAGACCCGCCATGATGGCCACCCCTCTCAGAGGTCCCCGGTCCATGCACCCCGCCAGGCAAGCTCCCCCTCTCCCCGGCTAGTCTGTCCAGGGCTTCCCGCACATCTCTCCCCTTCTCAGGACACTGGAGGTGCTTGGGAGCCCTCACATCGAGCTCCAAGCCATGGTCAGGCTCCTTCCTGGCTGTGATGCCATGGAGGTAATAGTGTGATTTTCAATACCTACAGAAACCCCATTCTGATTAAGGTCACTGCAGTTGTTGAGTCTGTCTACTTGCCATTTAAAAACAACACTATCTTTATCATCTTTAAAATTCCTACTATATTTTTTCTTCTTTTTTTGCCTTGTGCTCTGACACACTAAGTGCGATATAGCTTATCTGGAGAAATATACAGTCAGGTCCATAAATATTGGGGCATTGACACAATTCGAACATTTTTGGCTCTATACACCACCACAATGGATTTGAAATGAAATGAACAAGATGTGCTTTAACTGCAGACTGTCAGCTTTAATTTGAAGGTATTTACATCCAAATTAGGTGAACAGTGTAGGAATTACAACAGTTTGCATATGTGCCTGCCACTTGTTAAGGGACCAAAAGAAATGGGACAGAATAATAATCATAAATCAAACTTTCACTTTTTAATACTTGGTTGCAAATCCTTTGCAGTCAATTACAGCCTGAAATCTGGAACGCATAGACATCACAAGACGCTGGGTTTCATCCCTGGTGATGCTCTGCCAGGCCTCTACTGCAACTGTCTTCAGTTCCTGCTTGTTCTTGGGGCATTTTCCCTTCAGTTTTGTCTTCAGCAAGTGAAATGCATGCTCAATCGGATTCAGGTCAGGTGATTAACTTGGCAATTGCATAACATTCCACTTCTTTCCCTTAAAAAACTCTTTGGTTGCTTTTGCAGTATGCTTTGGGTCATTGTCCATCTGTACTGTGATGCAGCGTCCAATGAGTTCTGAAGCATTTGGCTGGATATGAGCAGATAATATTGCCTGAAACACTTCAGAATTCATCCTGCTGCTTTTGTCAGCAGTCACATCATCAATAAATACAAGAGAGAACTAGTTCCATTGGCAGCCATACATGCCCAAGCCATGACACTACCACCACCATGCTTCACTGATGAGGTGGTATGCTTAGGATCATGAGCAGTTCCTTTCCTTCTCCATACTCTTCTCTTGCCATCACTCTGGTACAAGTTGATCTTGGTCTCATCTGTCCATAGGATGTTGTTCCAGAACTGTGAAGGCTTTTTTAGATGTAGTTTGGCAAACTATAATCTGGCCTTCCTTTTTTTGAGGCTCACCAATGGCACCACCTTGTGGTGAAGCCTCTGTATTCACTCTGGTGAAGTCATCTCTTGATTGTTGACTTTGACACACATACACCTACCTCCTGGAGAGTGTTCTTGATCTGGCCAACTGTTATGAAGGGTGTTTTCTTCACCAGGGAAAGAATTCTTTGGTCATCCACCACAGTTGTTTTCCGTGGTCTTCCGGGTCTTTTGGTGTTGCTGAGCTCACCGGTGCGTTCCTTCTTTTTAAGAATGTTCCAAACAGTTGTTTTGGTCACGCCTAATGTTTTTGCTATCTCTCTGATGGGTTTGTTTTGTTTTTTTCAGCCTAATGATGGCTTGCTTCACTGATAGTGACAGCTCTTTGGATTTCATCTTGAGAGTTGACAGCAACAGATTCCAAATGCAAATAGCACACTTGAAATGAACACTGGACCTTTTATCTGCTCATTGTAATTAGGATAATGAGGGAATAACACACACCTGGCCATGGAACAGCTGAGAAGCCAATTGTCCCATTACTTTTGGTCCCTTAACAAGTGGGAGGCACATATGCAAACTGTTGTAATTCCTACACAGTTCACCTGATTTGGATGTAAATACCCTCAAATTAAAGCTGACAGTCTGCAGTTAAAGCACATCTTGTTCCTTTCATTTCAAATCCATTGTGGTGGTGTATAGACTCAAAAATGTTAGAATTGTGTTGATGTCCCGATATGTATGGACCTGACTGTATACAGGATAAGATGGTCCCTAGAAGTCTGACATGGGAAGTTAATCTCAGAAGGAGGATAGTAAACTTGAGGATTGGTTTAAATTTTTCAATGAAGCAGGGGTGGGCTTTTTAGGTTTTCTAGTTACCAAGAAACAAACCAAACTCCATAAGCTTAATGAGGAAATCAATACTATTAAAACTAAATTATTCCATATAAAGATTATTTGGAGTATACTAAGCAATCAGAGTGCTTGAAAACTGCCCTGATGAAGGAGGAGTCAGAGCCACCATGGAAATCCACCTTTAGAAGAATAAAATGATAGGACTTACAACAGGTTTGCCCCCTTGATAGATAAAAGGAACACGGCACAAAGGTTCATTAGTAATCACCCATTATACTCCACAGGCAATTTCAGATCTCAGAGAAATCATGATGGAAGCACTGGAAATTACAATCAGGGTTTTCATTTAGCTCCAAAGCCGGGATACATACAGTAAGAGGCATAGACACAAATGAGATACCAGAGGGGAAAGTGTTTACACTCCAAAAAGAAGGAGAATGTAGACAACAGTGGTATCATTAACCTTAGTGGTAAAGTCTTAACTAAGGAATCCTTAACTCCTCGGAATTTAAATAAGTTTCAAACATTTATTGATGTTCAAAAATACACACGGAAACTCGATATTAATAGGTACCTGGTCACTAATCCAGTTAGAAGTCAGACGTGTATCGCTTCACAGTTTGTTCATTTAAACCTATCTAACGCCTCTTTATTTAACCCCCCTGGCAATGTGCCTTCTAATATTTTAGTCTTCCATGATTTGGTTTTAAAAGATCTTGAGTCAATTAGGCCCAAAAATGTGAAGCCCCATAAGGATTTGAGTGTAGGAATGGAAAACCTTTGCACTAGGAAAGACATAGTTATACATGCCATGGACAAGGGAGGTGCTATTGTCATTCTTGATAAAGTAGCATATGATCAGGAAATGGCTAGGTTACTATCAGATGAGGACACTTACGTTAAGTTAAGGGGCAATCCTGTTTACAGTACAAAAAAGAACTTAGGATGTTGGTGGAAAAAGGATATAAGGATGGTATTTTATGCAAGAAGGAGAAAGAATATCCCATACCCTCTACCCTTAGGTTACCTGTTATATATTGTTTACCAAAAATACATAAGAGTTTAGAAAACCCTCGGGGTATGCCCATCATTAGTGGCATAGATTCTATCACAGCTTGAGCTGGCAAATACATTGATCACTTTTTACATCCATTGGTGGCAAATGCACCCTCATACTTAAGGGACACTAAACATGTTATTAATGTTCTGGGAGAGAGGATTTATTGGAAGCCAAGCTATCTGTTAGCCACTTCGGATGTATCATCTTTCTATACATCAATTTCCCATCAATTAGGTTTGGAAGCAGTGAAATCCTTCTTACATAGAGATATTTCTATCCCAGAACTTCAAAAGACTTTTGTTACAGATTTACTCCAATTTTGTATGACCCATAACTATTTTTGGCATAAGGGTTCTTACTATCTGCAGCTACGGGGAGTGGCCATGGGGGCTAGATTTACACCCAGCATGGCCAATATCTTTATGGCAAAGTGGGAAGAGGATGTGGTTATGAATGATTGCAGGCCAGAATTAATAATCTGGAGGTGTTTCATTGATGACATCCTCTTAATTTGGGATGGAGACATTAGATTCATTTTTTAATTTTTTGAATGATAATCAAAGTGGTATAGTATTGAGTCATGAAGTGAATTCTGACTCAGTACATTTCTTTGATTTGAGGTTATCTATAGTCGGTGGGATGCTCACCACTTCTACCTTCTTCAAGAAAACCGATAGGAATGGATACATTCCTCTTGACTCTTGTCATCATCCTTCATGGTTGTCAGCAGTACCTAAGGGACAATTCTTGCATCTTAGATGTAATTTTACCTTTCAGGAGGATTATGAGAAAGAGGCTTTGATACTTAGGTCAAGATTCCTTGAGAAGGGATACAAGGCAGAATATCAAGATAGGTTAATGAGGGAAGTGGGTTGTTGTGATCGTTATAGCCTTATCAAGGATAAAGAACCTGTCCATGGTTCTTCAGATCGATTTAACCTTGCTTTTTTCACCACCTTTTCTAACCATCATTATGTGGTGAAAAATATAATTCAGAAACATTAGTCTGTTCTGAAGAATGACTGAATTTTGGGTCCCATTTTACCTGATCACCCTACTGTCATCTTCAGGGGTGCGGGGTAATCTCAGGAACAAAATAGCACTTAACATTCCAGATCCACCCATCACGCCATTATTTTTTGCTAATATAAAGGGATACCACCTTTGTAAGAAGTATACAGCTTGCCAAATTACTTGTTTAAGGGGAAGGAAGATAACCAATTTTATTGCCACACAAACTGGTATTATGTATTAGATAC